AAGCGAACAGATCTATTTGCGCGTCCCCGAACTGGTCCCAAATCAGCTGGACCGACTGAGTATGGAGTCGCCATTCTCCGGAGACTGGACGGAACCGCGACAACTCGTCGGCTGCCTGGTTCCGGTCTCCTGGAATGTAAACAGCACGAAGGGACCTCAGGTTCTTCTGACTCCATAGTAGGAGGTGGAGTGCGAGTTGCGACATCCGACGTGAGCGTAGACCACCCTGGCGGTTGATGTACACTACTGTAGCGGTATTGTCTGAGCGGACTAGTACGTGTTGACCCCTGAGCAACGCTCGGAAGCGGTGCAGGGCAAGGCATACTGCCAGAAACTCGAGGCAATTGATGTGCATGAGGCGCTGGGGTCCTGTCGAGGACCCCGCGGCTGCATGACTATTGCACATGGCTCCCCAACCCGTGGCAGATGCTTCTGTGGTGAAAACAACATGCCTGGAAACTTGCTGCAGAGAGACACCGGTCCGCAAGAAGCTGAGGTTCGTCCACGGGAAGAAGGTCTGACGGCAGGTCCGAGTTATTGGAACCCTGAGCGTGCTGCGATGCCATGCCCACCTCGGAACTCGATCGCGAAGCCACAGCTGAAGCAGTCTCATATGAAGCAGTCCGAGCGGCTTTGCCGCGGCTGTGGATGCCATATGCCCCAGGAGCCTCTGAAAGAACTTCAGTGGGACCGCACTCTTGCCCTCAAACTGTGGAAGACAAGCCAGCAGTGAGTGTGCGCGCTTGCTCGTGAGCTGCGCGGACATGGCGACCGAGTCTATCTCCATACCGAGAAAAGAGCACGGGGCAAAGTTTGCTCTTCTCCCAGTTGACCCGAAGGCCCAGACGGGTTAGGTGCCGGAGCACGAGGTCTCTGTGTTCGCAAACCTGATCTCGAGAGTGTGCTAGGATCAGCCAATCGTAGAGGTAGTTCAGGATGCGAACCCCGTGTTCGCGAGGGGGCACCGCCTCGACAATCTTCGTAAAGACGTGAGGGGACAGAGCCAACCCGATTGGGAGAACCGCGTACTGATATGCCTGACCCTCGAAAGCAAACCGTAGAATTGGTCTGTGTCGAGGTAAGATGGAGACATGAAAGTACGCGTCCTTCAAGTCTATCGCTGCAAACAAATCCTGGGGCCGAATGCATTCGAAAATGCGTTTGGCCGTGAGCATTTTGAATGGCAGTCGGTGAAGAGTGCGGATCAGAACGCGTAGATCTAGGATCGGTCGTAACCCACCGGTCTTCTTGGGGACAATGAAGTAGGGGCTGTAAAACCCTGACCTCATCTCGGCTGGAGAGACAGTCTCGATCGCACCCTTCGCCAGCAGGGTAGCGATCTCGGCTCTCATGATCGGGGCATTGCCACCGACCAACGTAAAGCGAACTCCCCGGAAACGGGGAGGAGACCGTGCAAACTGAATCGCATAGCCGAACCTGATAGTTCGGGCGACCCAGCGGGATAGGCCGGGGAGCTCTAGCCAAGCTCCCAGGAACCGATCCAGTGGGATTATCTGAGCCACAGACGTTCCCCCGGAGGGGCAGCGGGGTGAAGAGACCTGCAGACGCGGAGGAGTTGACTCCGCTTGTGCAGAGTCAAGCTCCGCTCCCCGACAGAGGAGACCAGGGAAGGACCAGCGTTCCACGGGGGTCTGCTATGCCGGGGGTCTGGCGATAGAGGGGGAAGGGAGCAGCGTGGTCCGGAGACGACAGCTGCTACCTTCCGCGCCCTCAGAGACAGAGGAGGATGAGAGTGGCGAGGCCCGGGGGCGTAACACACTGTCATCTTGCTCTGTGTGCTCAGTGATGGTGTCAAGTCTTTCTTTAACCAACTCAGGGTGCTGCCCACCCGTGGGTGAGCAGCGGGGAGCTGACAACAAAAGATTCTCCCCCAGCCCTCCACCGGGGGAAGGAGGGGGCCTGCTACCGCCTCCTGGGAAAAACTTGACGCCAACACTAAGCAGCCCGTCTCAGGAGGCCTCAGCGGGGCGCGGGGCCTGAGGGGGCTGTGGTGCCTTCCTGCGGCCTCCTCCACGATGCGGCCCGGGTGAAGGCTGCTGCTGAGGCCGTGCGGGAGGGAGGGGAGCCGCAGGAGGGCGCCCTCGGCGGCGAGCAGGCTGAGGCATCTGTGCCGACGTCTGGGTGGAGGCAGCAGCTGGCCGTCAGGGCAGAATATGTTTGATAGCCTCAGTCTGCTTCTGAGCGGTCGAGAACTGCTGGGCGAAGTCCTCAACCGCACCGCCGAAGAGGCAAGCCTGGGAGAGGGGGGCGTCAAGCAGATGAGTCCGCTCGGCGTCCCGCACATCAGCCAGGTTGAGCCAGAGATGACGCTCCTGGACCACGTTAATGGCCATCACCTGACCGAGGGAGCGCGCCGCCACCTTAGTCGCTTGGAGAGCGAGGTCAGTAGCAGCACGCAGCTCATTAAAAGCCCCCGGTTCAGTCCCGCCCTCGTGTATATCTCTGAGCAGCTTTGCCTGAAAGACCTGCAAGGTGCTCATAGCATGCATGGCAGCGGCCGCCTGTCCTGCAGCTCTATAGGACCTCGCCACCATCGATGACGAGAACCTACAGGCCTTGGACGGGTGCTTAGGATTACCACGGGAGGATGCGCTCTGTGGACACAGCTGCATCGCAACAGAGCGCTCCACCGGGGGAATCCCAGTGTACCCACGGGCGTCCGCGTCGTCGAGGGGGGGAAAGGTGGGGGAGATTGACAATCGTTCACGGGAGGTCAAAGAAGCCTTTCATGACTTCGTCAGCTCCGCATGCAGCTCAGGAAAGAAAGGAATTGGGGTCGGCTGTGGCCGTGAGGCGGCAGCCTTTCCCAAAACCAATCATCCATCCGCGAGCGATCGGGACAGGGCGGAGGGTTCCACTCTAACCCAATGCCCACGGCGGCCCGAGACAGAATGGGCGTCATCTTGGGATCAGACACGGGCAACGCTGGCTGGCACCCCCGAAGGAGGCAGCGCAGCCGCATCCTCACTTCCCGAGGACTCAAGCCCACCTTGTGATGCCGCAATCGACATGGCATCCTCCTCTGGAGTGCCGAACGAAACAGACAGCACTTCCGAAGAAGCGCTCGTGTGCATCATTGCGGCACTCTCGGGTTGCAACACGACTGAGGGGGGTGTGGCCCGAGGAACAAGCGTCGGGTTTTTGTTCCACACCGTCACCGTCAGATCACCCTCTCTGCGAGCCGAAGAGCTCCCTCTGGAAGAGGAAGCAGATCGGGTAGCAGATGCGGGGACTCTCACAGTAAGATCATTGAGTCTCGATCTCAGTGTCGCGATGGTCATGTTCCCACAGAAGGAACATGAGTCATCCACAAACGCTGCTTTAGCGTGTTCAAAGCCCAGACACACAAAGCAGCGCTCATGCCCATCAGAGGAGGAGAGATATCGACCGCACCCAGAAGAACACGGGCGAACCATCTTTAAAAAGACGTGCCACGTGCAGCTCTTTCAATGAGAGGAGGAAATTCACTCTGCAGCGCTGAGGCAACCAGGGAGAAGCACAAAGTCTGGCAGACCACTGCACAGATCGCAGGCAATGTAGAATCTCTCTGGGTACCGCCGTCACACCAACACTGGAGAGGACGCTCGTCTCGAAGAGGTAATCTCAGTATGAGTGGCTTGTGGAGTGAAGAGGTTCTCTTGGCTCCGAAGCGAAAACATACTGCTGTTGCGTCTGCTTCCTCCTTTTATACCCACGAGGTGGGGCGGAGATACGCTATGCAAATTCCGCAGACCCAAGGCATTTTCACGTCATTGGCTCGTTTTTTTAATACTCGAAGAGGATTGGCTTTCTATGCGAAACCCCCATTCTCCGTCATCCGACGTAACTCGGAGTGACTACGAAAGGGAACTATACATATATTTTATTTATAGATTTCCATATAATTGTACATATATTCAAAAGGGGGCTATATATTTAAAATATTTTCCACAATATATTGACCACATATCTATATATGTATGCATATATTTCCATACAATTTTAAATATATTTAAAATATATTCCACAATATATTGAACACATATCTATACATATATGTATGCATATATTTCCATACAATTTTTAAATATATTTGAAATACATTCCACAATATATGGAACACATATCTTTACATATATTTTATTTATATATTTCCATAAAATTTCATATATATATTGAAATGTATTCTACCATATATTGAACATACATGGGACATTATATCTTTACATATATAACCAATACATTATCCCATACAAATTGTAATACATTATGGTGGATATTAATAAATATAAAATTGCATATATTTTCAGATATATAATTACATATATTATATATTCATTTACCATATATTTCAATATATTGTAAGCAGCAATCATTTGTATATTTTGCAATATGTTACAATATATTGTATAATATATGTATCATCAATATATTACTCCATGTATTTCCAATATATAATATATTGGAAAATGGAAAGGAAAATAATATATTACAATATATTTCAAGTAATATATTGGTAAATATATTTTTCTTTCATAAGGGGCAGTGGTCGCAAGTCAAAAGATACTTTTTTTCAACAAGAGGTTAGATGAAATTTCACTCGGCATCAAACTGTCAGTATACTGAATTCAAATTTGACTTGACACCCGGGGTGGCCAATCAGATATCAGGGGTGTCCAGTGCGGGACATTACTCTGCTCTGCCTCCGAAACTACACGGAGTCCAGCAGGAAACTCAATCTAGTACTAATGCAAAAGCTAATAAGACTGTGCATTTGTGTGCATTTGTGTCTTCAAAATCTTTGATTGATATGTGGTCTTGTGTTTTTTTTTTTTCTTCTTTATTGTATTTTTGTATCTCCCCTGGCTTTAAAGTTTGTCATGTAATGTTTTGTTTAAGCAATAATAATAATAATAAAAAAATAAAAAAACTCAAGCAGGAAACTGAAAGAGCCTGATGCTTCTTTCAGGAACCGAAAGTGTTATACGCAGAATACCTAGCTTGTGCATCAGAGTGCGGTCTCGTATCGTTTCCTGCAAGCTACAACAAGAATGTCAGAGATGAGGTGAATACTGTTTCTATTTATTATTTGCCTTGATTATGAAACCTAATTACAAAGGTTAATGCAAAAAGGTTCATTAATATAACAGTCTGCAAAATTAACTTTTTTATAGGCTACTATGCTGGAGTAAAGTTCATAAATGATCTGTGTTTCCTAACTATGTTGGGTGGCCATCTGTCCATAGGGGCAAATAATCAGAAATTGTACAAAACGCAAAGAAAATGTTGTACAGTTGAAGGTTAAATCAATCTACTTTTTGCATTAAGAGATTTACCCAAGTGGAGCTCATTACAGAATCAAACGTCACCCAGCTTTATCTCTCTGGATGTCTAATGGGGTGGAGGAATAGAGTTGTGGACCCTGGGTTAAAGGAGTAGTTCACTTTAAAAAAAAAAAAAAAACTTTTGCTGATTATTTACTCACCCCCATGTCATCCAAGATGTCCACGTCATTCTTTCTTCAGTCGAAAAGAAATTAAGTTTTTGGTTTTTGATGAAAACAAAAACGAAAATGATTTTTCACCATATAATGCACTTTACTGAGTACCAGACGGGTCAATGACCAAAAGACAGTTGCAGTTTCAGTGCAAACTGCAAACTGGTCTAAGTGATTTAAACGATTCCAGACGATGAATAAGGGTCTTATGAAGCAAATAACAAAAACAAATAATATAGTTTAAGTTTTATAAGCTCAAATGCTCGCCTTGCTCTGTTCTGTGATGCATGTTCATGACCCTCCTGTTCAAACTCGTTCATCAAAATGAACTGATCTTTTTTCGAGTCATTTGGTTCATTCAACGAAGGAAATTAACAAATTGACTCAGAAAAATATTTGTTTATTTTGATGAACAAGTTCGAACTAGAGAATCACGAACTTGCATCACAGAACAGAGCAAGGCGAGCATTTGAGCTTATAAAATTAATTTAAATGACTGGAATGTTTTCATCAAAAACCTTAATTTCTTTTCGACTGAAGAAAGAAAGACAAATTATCAGCAAAAGTTTTTTATTTTTGTTGTTTTTAAAAAGTGAACTACTCCTTTAAGGTGTGGTCTGATACCCGTGGTTTGGATGTCTAGTGAGGGGGAGCTAGACATAAGCTCAGCCCGTGCTCTGAGCAGCCTCTGATTTACCTGGCCCGCTATCTTAAGTAGAAACCAAGAGAAATCTGAATTCATTGTCAATGCTTTTTCTTTGTTCAGTGTGCACAGTTCATGGGTCAAAGGCGGTTGAAGCCCTTAATTTTGAGCCCCCAGGGTGCAAAGGTTAATGGCAAACTTCTTGCAAATCTAAGGCCACTGCTGGAAGAAATATTAGTAAGGTTAGCATGGGGCACACTCTTTGCAACAAAATTCACTAGTATAGTACTTCTGAACCATTATGAGTCTATGGCCCATCACAGATAAAGTGAATATCGTTGATCATCTCCTAACAAGGCCGCATATTTAGGTCTAGTTAGATTAGATGGTAAGCAAACAATCAGTTCTTGTAATTAACATGATGGATGCAGGAGAACTGGGCAGTTAAAGTACTCAGCAAAGTTGACACAGTCCAAGTTGTTATGGGAAATGTTCTGATGGGAAACCCTGGGTCTGACCATTCATGTCATGTGGCATGTTGACACGTGCTACCTACCTAAACGTTGTTGCAGATCAGGTACACCCCATCATATGAGCAGCTTCGTCTCCATACTGGCGTGATGGATCCGATCTTCAAGCAACACTTTTGAGTGTGAGAAAAGTGTATATAAATGTAATTAATTATTGTGGAAAGCTGTGACTTTGAAGCATTACTGCTAAAGACATAAACATTCAAATAGATGTTTTTGTCACAGGTATTTTTTATTATTATAAACAATATTGAATAAACAAACAATACATTTTGTTATTATTATTTAAAGCTAAATTGGTCATGGTTATGGGTGGGTGTATGCATGGATGAATGCATACAAATTAAATTTAAAGCACACAAATTAAAGTTTGAGATGTATAGCACAAAAAACAAAACAAAAAAACAAACAAAAAAAAAAAAAACAAACCCAGACAGAATCGCTCTCCACTTTCCATATTTTAAGGCATTTTGTTAGGAGGCGTAATTATGTTCTAATGAGTTGTTCATTTCATAATGAGTTGCTAATTCATTTGTTTTCTTGTCAGTTCAATCCAGCAGAGTTTACAACCAAAACTGGATCAGCTGGAGTGTCACTTCACTTGGGACATTAAAAAAGTTAATCTAGTCTTAACAGATGTCCTAAATAGGCTCGAGGAACAGCTCAAGATGATGGGTCTAGGATGGGAGTTAGGAGTCGCACGAACTCATTGCTCTTTAGGATATTTGGAATTCCTTCTTGAGCACAAAGAAAGGGCCCTAACCCACCTGTTGAAATCTGAGACACTTATTAAAGAAAAACTTGGAGAGAACTGTGACAAGACTCTAATTGTTACCTATGGAAATTTAGCCTGGATAAACTACCACATGAAGAACTACTCAGAGTGTGAAAGTTACCTGATGAAGCTTCTGAAGATTAATGAAACATTGCCAACCCAGCCTTCATCTGTTCCAGAGGTGCTGGGTGAGAAAGGATGGGCCTATCTTAAATTCTCTCACAAATATTGTGGCAGAGCCGTAGAAGTTTTCCAGAAGGCTGTGGAACTGGATCCAGAAAATAGCGAGTGGAACGCTGGTTATGCCAAGGCTCTGTATCGCATTGAACCTAGTACATCTTGCACTGTGGATTCACCTGCGATCAAACAGCTGAGATTGGCCATTGACGACAACCCAGATGACAATGCTTCGAGAAGTCTTCTAGGACTTAAACTTTGGTTTTGTTCCAAGAAGTTGATGGATGAGTCTGAGAAACTAGTGGAGACAGCTCTGAATGGCTCTCCAGAAGATCCACATGTCATAAGGTATGTTGGGAAATACTTCAGGAATCAAGGGTCTGTGGACAGGTCCATTGCACTGCTGATGAAAGCACTTGAAAGATCACCAAACTCAAGTTTCATACATCATCAGTTGGCAATGTGCTACAAGAAAAAGAAAATTCATTTACAGAAAGAAAAACCAGACAGAGGAAGCCAGAGGAACCCAGGCAGAGGAAGCCAGACTGAGGTAAACAATGCAAGAAATGAGTTTATCTACTACTTAGAAAAGGCAACTTCTCTGAAAGCTAACTTTATCATTGCCATGAGTGAGCTTGCACTACAATACGGAGAGAGATATGAACTGTCCAAGGCAGACAGTCTGTTCCAGAGAACATTTAAGATAGCTAGAGAGAAAAATGATGGTGTCCATGTTGTCCACTGTTTCTATGCTGAGTTTCAGCAGTACAGTAAGAGATGTGAGGACTTAGCAATCAGGCACTACGAGGAGTGTTTCAAAATGAATCCACATTCTAGTCACGGGGAAAGAAGTGCAAAGAAACTGATGATCATTGCTCAGAGACGTATCACGTTTAAGCCAGATGATTGGGAGGCCAATGAAATACTGGCATTAATTTACCAAAACTCTGAGGCCACCAAGAGCCATTTGGCCACTTCAGACAATGAAGAGGATGATGAATACCATAGTAATCTTAGTGAGTGCCTTAAAGGATGCACAATTTATGGTTAAAAACCAATGGGTCTTAATTGTGCACAGAAAACATGTGCAAAGACACATAAATCTGTTCTTACTTTCGTTCTTATGAAATTCTGGTGAGTTCTCATGAAGAATGCAGGTGATTCCAACTGAGGGTGTCCCCACAGCTAGTAATTTGCATAAAACATGCCCAAACTATGTCCATATAAGGGCATTGTAAATAGTCTCACATCTCTCTTTGTCTTCCTAGCTTGCTCCCTTTCTCATGCATGCTCACTTCCGCTTGAGAGGAAGATCTTTGAGTAAAACATTGCATTTTCAAAAGCAGATAAAGACATGTTGAATTTAAGCAAAGTGGGGTATTTAACCTTTAGTAATTGTACACACATTCATTAATAAACTGACAATGACATTCACTGATTATTCTATAATTGATCATGTATAATTGACTTTTAAAAAAGAAATGAAAACAGCGATAAGTGTCCAATCAGAAACTTCAAGGTCAGAGATGATGACTCCTTCAACTGTAAACTGTGTTTTAAGAAAATGTAGAAACACATCTTTAAAATATGACGAAATGTTCAGTTCACCGTATTCATTTATTTTGTTAGCCTATTTTTTGCATGTTATAATCCAATTTTTTATATGTTGTAGACTTAATTTTCATCAAAATTCAGTTACACTTCCCTTTTGACAAGTTGTTTCTTAAGGTCATTATGCTGTTTCATTAGAATGTCATTTAAATGAATAAAGTGTTCAGTAAAGTGTGTCATTGTAGGGAACATATTGTAGGAATGTTAGATGCATCATAAGTGCAATTATAATTTGTGTTAACTTGGGCTTTAGTTATGCATTAAACTTGTATTACTTTTACAGATACATTACAGAAAATATTTGATGCAAATCTTTTTTTTGTGCTTTTTGTGTTTGAAAATTTACATAATGACCTTCCTGTATTGATTTTACCAATAAATAATGTCACTTGATGTCATGTCTGATTCTGTAAGTTTATGTGAAAGGGTTTCACAAACCCTTATTTCAGGATGCACTGATCACAATCATGTTAGTTGTCAAACTGATGTTGGTATTGTATTATTAAATTAAATTGAACATGACACATTACTGACCTCAACCAATGAGCAAAAATACCATACCATTATAAAAAAAAAACTTTTGAAGAACAGGAGCAAAGTCCTCTCGAGGCTTATAAAGTCCTTCACAGCATTAAACGATATGAGGCGATATAGGAATTTTTTTTCCATCCAATGATAGCGGCACAAAAATACAATTAAAATTATAATTTGAAAAAATACTTTATATTAAATAGCCTTTATATTAACTGCCTATACAGCACAGGTATTTGAAAACCATCTGTGGTTCCCAGTGGTTTACTACACACAGTTTAGAATTATGTGATTAATTTACAACAAAACAAAGGAATATGCCTTTATCTCAATCCAATTTTTTTCTGCTCATTTTTGTGAATTAGAATGTGTGCAAAGAATTGTGTGTGATTTGAGGACACGAATGATGCAAAACAAAGGCTACCTTCAAAGGATCCTTGAAATTGAGTTGTCCCATTGACAGAGCTTGATGTTGTGATAGCTGGGATGCGTAGATTTTCTAGTGTGACATAGGCATATATGTAATCTTTTGTTTTGGTGTGAATTAATAATTTAACAATGATATATTTTCTAATAAAATAGAAATATAAATGGAATCAGTAAATAAAATGCTTAAAATTAACAATTCAGTTTATCATGAACTTGAATTTAGTTTAGAATGCCAATTGATTTTTGGCCATTTATATAATCATTTATCTAGACATTTGATTATTCTATTTACCTCTTTACTCTAATTATAGTTACTCGTTCATATCGCTCAGAGGTCTCACGATCACAAACTCTTCAGTCTTGGTCATTTGACAGGTAACAGATGAATACCATTTAGATGGCCCTGCTTATCACTGCTCTACCTGCTCTTATCCATGGCATGCTAAGCAGGGAGTTCTTGCCCAAAACAGAACTATACATATATAACTATACCTAATTGTCAGTCATTTTTGACTATAGTGGTCCTGACAGAAACGGAGTCATTGTGATTCAGGCTGCATCACAAGTCTGAATTTATATGGGGATCAGTTGCATTCAAATATTCATCCAGTTCCTTTTGCTTGAAGATCCATTAATCACGATTACGCCGATATGGAGCCGAAGCTGGCCATAGGGTCCACTGCCGAGGACCTATATGGTTCTCGTGCTGAGGATCTGTGCCGATGGCTATCATGTCAACAAGGCCTTCACAGGGGATTGTCTAGTCTCTGCTGACATTCAGGGCTGCGTTCAGGGCTGAATTTTGGTCGTGTCTACAGTAGGTGCAGGTCCACTATCTGATCTGGATATGCTCCAGATCCGGCTTACTACAGTATACCTCAGGATAAGGATAAGACAGACAGACTAATATTAGCTTTGATGCCAAACAGGTGGGTTTAGCCAGTCTGTCAGCTTCATGACCTGGGCCCCGGTTAGTGAAGTGCCAGCTCCAAGACTATATGAAGAGTTCAGATGCAAAAGCCTCTAAATGCCATTTGAAATTTTCTTCTTTAATGATGATTTTTGTCAAACTTGTATATTTTAGTTCAGTAATTTCACTTCAATAACAATTAATAGGTAATTATCATTGCCATTTAAGTGAAATCACTGAACTTAAATATACAAGCTTGATAAAAATGATCATTCTAGAAGAAAATTTCAAATGGCAATTAGAGGCTTTTGCATCTGAACTCTTCATATATTATATGACAAGAGAGAAGAGTGGCACCTCCCCAGGAGGGATGAAGACCATCATTTTTCAACATGTCAGGTCTGACCCAAAAACTTTTCCAATTGTCTATAAACTCTATATTATTAGACAGACTGCAAGCCATTGAGTGACTAAAAAGATCAGGCAGGCTGTTTTTTTTCAAGATGGCAGCAGGAGCAGTCAGCATAGTCTGTCTCATCCCAAGACATCATACAACTGACGCTTTAGACCATACGTCAACATCCGCCATTTTAGGGTACCCTTCTTTGGTCATAAGCGTCAGTTGTATGACGTCTTGGGATGAGACTGTGTTAGAGCAGTAGGGGTTGTCACAGCTCTTTTAGGGTTTCTATTTGAACCCTATTTGAATAATGACCTGGCCAAACTCTATCCATATAAGCTTAACTACTTCAGGGTGGAGCCGCCATTCCCCGGGCCCCTGCTTCGACAGGATATCTGCTCCCACATTATCAACCCAAGGAATATAAATAGATCTAACAAAGAGAAATTTAATTTATCCTGGGACCATAGAAGAATCGGATGTGCCAGTCTAGAAAGAGGGCGTGATTTCAGGCCTCCTTGATGGTTGATATAAGAGACCATCGACATATTGTCAGTCCTAATGAAAACATGATGGCCTCTGAGGTCAACAAGGAAGTGCCTCAGGGCAAAGGATACGGCCAACATCTCCAAGCGATTAATATGCCATGAGAGATCAGGGTCCTTCCTAGTACCTCGGGTGTAACGGTCCCCACTCCCCAGCCTGTGCGGGACGCATCTGTAGTCAAAGTTTTTCTCTGACATTGTGCTCCCAAAGCTGGGCCTTGAGACAGGAACCATGGTTTCTTCCACATGACAAGAGCATGAAGGCATCTGTGCGTAACTCTGATGAGCCACCACTGTAAGGCCCTTATGTGGAGCAGACCAAAAGGAATTACGATGGAAGCTGCAGCCATGAGGCCCAAAAACTCTGGTTTGACAGTGATCGCCTGGCTTAACCTAATACTCTTTATTGTAGTTAAGATAGTTTTTATACGAACAGTATAACAGTATAACAGACCAGAGGAGCTAACCGTCTCAGTATTATATGCCAGCCCACGTGCGAATCCCGTGCATTCAAGGGGCTCGCTGCCTCGACAGACGCGGGACCTGATGCACTGGAAACGCGAGCCTGATTTATTTGATCGAACAGGCTCAAACGGGAGCGAAGCTTTTTCATAACTGAAAAGAGTTTGCACAGACAGCGCCCTCGATCACTGCCCATGCATGCTTCACTCCCAGACAAACAACACAGAATGAGTGAGGTGACAATGGTTAAGGTGGGGGAGAAACGTCCTCAACTTCAAATGACAGCTCTGTCGCAGTCACTCTTGATTTCAGCATCTGTCACTGCCGGTTTCAGGTGAATGCCACAAATCACAACTTGTAAAGGACTATAATAAAGGAGGGTTAAAAACAATTAGCTTAATTTTGAATCTATGGTTGGAGTTCTTAGAGTTAACTGTAAAAGCATTTCTAGATAAACCTGATTCTCTGTGGTATCATATTCCCAAATATATTTTTGATAAAGTGGGAGGCTTAGAGTTCCTTTTAAAGTGTGATTTCGAGGTATCCAAATTGCCAGTAAAATTGTCTGAATATCATAAACAAGTTTTTACTCATAGACGGTACTCGAAGATGGTATTTACTCATAATTTTACGCCAAATGGCTCCACCTTGTGGAACAACAGAGTGACAATAAGTAGAAAAACATCTCAGGTCTGCGTGATTGCTTCGTGAAGCGTCTGTACAATCAGTCCAATGAGAGAGTAGGACTTCAGGTGATGTCATTGACCAGGGAACTATATAGCACCTGAAAAGGCCTGAAGCAAGTCGATCAGGGCATGCAGGAAGTATGGCAGGCGAACGCAGCTCTCGTTTCCTCACAGGGAACCAGGGTTACATACGTAACCTGAGACGTTCCCTTTCAAGGGAACTTCAAGTTGCATTGGCTAACATGATGGGAACCCCATACCCATTATCCCACGCTCAGAAATGCCAGTTCTGTGTGAAGTCCAAGCGCACACTAGGAAACGAGCAACCTAGCCCCAGGAATGGAGAGGTCTAGGTCATAGAATCTGAAAAATGTATGCAGTGAGGACCACCCTGCCGCATTACAAACGTCCTGGAGGGAAACATCCGAAATTAAAGCCTTAGAGGCAGCCATACTGTTCGTAGAATGGGCGCGGACCTCCATAGGTGAGGGACATCCGACCACCTTATAAGCAATAGAGATAGCCTCAACTATCCATTTGCTCATTAATTGTTTCGATGCCGGGCAACCTTTCTTGGTCGAACCAAAGCAGACGAATAATTGCTTTGACTTACGCCACAGGGCAGCTCTGACAACGTAGGCATCCAAAGCCCGAACTGGACATAGTAGATTGAGACTTTCCTGATCAGGGGTATTGAATGGTGGAGGACAGAAGGCCTGCAGCACAATAGGACCCATCACATTAGTAGGGACGGACCTTAGGAATATAACCCGGTCTAGCAGGGCCAGATTGGGACTCATTTTCAGCCCTGGAGTTTCATGCCTTAGACCGGCCCACTTTAGTTCCAGACTGACTAAAATAATGTAATTAAAACCTCAGTATATAAGCAATAGTGTTCTGTACAACCTTGTAATTCATTGTATTTTTCAAAAATATTATTTTCTATTCAGTGCAATAGCCGGGTATGCTCCCCCGGGATTTTTTTTGTGTGAAAGTTTTGAAGTTTTGTGCAAAGAAATATACAATAAAATTAGGTCTAGCAAAGTCTTATATTTCTGCAAGTCACAAAGAATAAACACAAATATTCTGGTTGAATAGATTGCTAGCTGAGAAACACTGCTTTAATAATTGTATTTATAATGACTTTGTGAAATGTTAACTAAACAGCATGAGCCTCTGCAGCTGGCCAGTAAGGTTATTTGGCAAATTTCATTCTGTAACATAAAGATCTGTATAATGCTATTGTTTTTGATAGTGTTATAGCCTACATTTCTTACATAAAATTACAATAATCATTGCGTTTGTCTTACCGAATGTGGTAGCTTTATGCAATTACAGTTTGTCTATAAACTTTTTTTTTAATTTTTTTATTAACGCTGACAGTAAAGTGTTGCCAGATATTGCTGCGAAAAACAAGCAAAACAAAATAA